GCTGTACCAGTAGGATACGCCATTCTTGGATTAGTAGTTATGCTAGATACATACCACCTTATACCATATCTAGACTGACATTGGAACACGTATATTTCAAACAAGTTTGTCCTCTAAACGTTCAACGTCGACGCGATCATCCCTCAAGTATCCACTGATCGTTCGTTTTCATCAGCCTCAGGGTGTCACCACATACGGGTTTTCATGTACATCCTAGCCAATATATGCAGCGTTCCTACCTAGTTCAACCCTTTTTAGCACAGGATTTCATTACTTGAGGCGAATCCAAATCCAATAATTCTTTAACATACATACTCAATGCCCGAATCACAAGGCCTTGTTCAATTTTTCAACTCGAACAACCCAACCATTACTCGGAAAACCAGGTGCGCTTCCATGACTACCATCCCAACCTTTACACATCATTGCGATTGCGAGTAGAAATGCTCCGGAGCCTGGGAAGTAAGGTGTTGGTACTCTGGCACCACCGATCGGCATACCGACATCGTCAAACGCGAAAAGCGGGTGAAGGAGCCACTCCACAGCCTTTTCCTGATCGCCGTTTCGTGCGGCCGACATCGCAAGCATTGGGAAGTCCCACCTAGACAGTCTTCAACTTCCATTACCCTACTTTGGAACAAGCCACTCGCCCCCAAAAGTTTGATACGTTCCAATATGCCCATACCTTCTCTGCGGTTAATTTGGCTATCGTGACATTCAGATCTGGTGTCGGTGGAAGCCAACCATGCAAACCGAGGAGAGTCGGGTGATCGTTGGTGTATGCTTTGTCCGTCCAGAAATCGCTCTCGATACCCTCATATACTGCATACGTTCCGTTGTCAATAGGCAGCTTGGCGAGTTTGTCTGCGACCCTGGTCCAGTCCTCTGGGACCTCCTCACCCAGATTTTCCATCCATTTTGACGCGATGTCTAATCCTAAGCGCCAGTATGCCAACTCCAGCGCAGGGTTCTGCGTAACATTCGGACTGGTATCCTCACTCGCGACGTACATTGGTGGACCGATATCATATACGCCTGTCGTTTCATTATACCACGCGAAGGCTGACATCCAGTTCGCAGTTTGGATAACGACATCCCTCCACTTATTCAATGTTTCTTTTACTGGGAAGGCGCGATACTCATATAGTGCGAAAACCAGAGGATGTGGTTGTTCCCAGATAAGAAGGTTATTAATTTCGCCGGGTGATGAACGACCAGAGGGATCTGTCATCTTGGGCCAGCGGGCCCCAGCGGGCCAACCCTGTTGGACTTGAGCACGGGCAATAGAGCTGTTGAGGAATCGAGAGTAGATGGTGGTCGAACGACGAAGGAGATCCCAGTTGTTCCAGAGGGCCCAGTGTGCGCAGTGCCAGAAATACATTTCTATTCCATCAAAAGTCAGCTCAGTGCGATTACAAGCCCCAAATGACACTTTACCCATATGGAACTTTCTGGAGTTACAAGTAAGTACTTGCATCATCTCTTGTGATAACCAGTACTCACCCATACTGAAAGTATCCCGTTAACATGGAGCTGATCAGATCAGTGATAATGAAGGGAATTCATACGGACCCAACCATTATTGACCAGACCCGACTATCAGTGTCCGGTCGGCCGTCAGCATGATGGATTCAAGGATACACGAACTCATGCTCACCTCCTGGGGTGGAGTACCTCCGGCCTCGTTCACTCTCATGAGGTACCGCGACAGAACGATCCTTCTCTGTAATTCCTCTGCTCGCGGATCTGTGGAGCCGGTCAGGACATCGACAAAGCCACTTCTCGTCCAAAATTCTTCCCAGGCGCTCGCAGAACTGTCAAAAACGTTCTGCGCAGAAGAAAAGTTTGGCTTGTCATCGGGAAGCCCATATTCTACAGTAAGAGAAAAAGTTGTCGAATTTTTTAGTGGTTGGACGGTGTAGCGGTGGGCATCTGGACTATCCCTGGAGATACCGAATTTGTCACCCATTATGGTCGTTCTGAATGTCGCTGAAACCATCGTGTGGAGTACACTTGCGCTGTTATTTCCGGAGGCCTCTAATACGGTTGTATGTTTCGAGGTTGCATCCCAATTTCCAACAAAAGGGGCGCTGAACTTCGCTTCTCCGTCGTTCCAAGGGAAATCCAGGAATATTCCAAGTCTACTACTTCCTAAAAGCGGAGATCTGATGGAAAGTCCAATCCTTCCGGTATCGTCGGCCACGGCAGTCTCAATTGTCACAGGTCCCCCTTGGAAGGAGAACCGACTTGTCAGCTTTCCGGTCCATAAATTGAGCTTTTGCTCTATATCTGTAAGATCTTCTCCTGTGATGTTGAGCTTCTCCCCTTGAGCAGACCAGAGTACTAGACCTATCCTTCCGAGATTGACTCTGTTCGGATTCGAAGTTAGCCATTGCTCGGGTCCTCCTCCTCCAAAATCATATTGGACTAGTCGGCCATGATTGTACCAGCTGACACCTTTGTAATCCTCGACGTCTTGTGTCGTCAAGCCAGCAGGAAGTGTATCATTCTTCCAACCCCAGGAGGACATAATAGCGAAAGGTAGAAGTGTTTGCAGACCTGTCACGTCCGCCCCAAAGGCAAAGTTACCGTTGCCGACTTGCATGGGCGTTGTGGCGTTAAGAGCAGAACCATCGCGTATTGGGTTGAACCGTACGACCAGTGATTGACGGTTAATCGACTCCAGTCCATTTGTCAAACGAAGAGCGGACAGTACGAGAAGAAAGAGACTATGGGACATTTTGCGAGACTTTTAACAAGACAACCTCATGCTCAATATGAGCGAGCACCTTTCGCGGCCCGGGCCTCCCATGAGACTCACTGCACTTGACTCCGAGTAGCTCTGCTCTCGCGCGCCTAGTTTTCGGCTTCATTGTGAGAGTGTCCGAGAAGATATATCGACACAGACTTATAACACCAAGTATTTGTCTCGCCAGGTATACATATTACCCATGTTTCAATGCAGTTGTTCGACGATTTTCCAACGTAATATCTTAAGTCCTCGTGACCGAAGAGTTGGCTTTCAAAGTTGGCATCGAGGGACATATCGGTCCGGTCAAGTGTTCAAACTTCTTATGTAGTACAAAAGAGCAACCAATGCGTCGGCAGACGCCGCACGACTTGAGACGCGATCAACAAATACATACAACACAGCCACCAACTCCTCACTTCTGATTGACGGCGATGTTCGCAACCGAGGTTGTGTGTCCACACAGAGTTGACTCGGAGGCGGAAATGCTTCACAGAGCTGCCACCACGCTACCCGCTGTCGTCTCCCGTCCTCCTGTTTGTACTCCCTGTAACGGTATATTTTCTGGAAGACTTGATTGATACTCGTGTCAATATCAATCCATCATTGTAAGTGCTGTACTTTGTCTCTAGTGTACACCTACATTTAGCCTACCTTAGTGGCTCTAGCTTTCTCATGTCTCGAGACCTCGCTGAACAGATAGCTCAGCTATGGAAAAACGAATGGGTTGACCTACGTGGCCTGGTCACCTGTGCGGCTCTTCACCTTTCCACCTCCGAATCTCCTAGCGTTGACTGTTTCCATCTCGCTACTCGGGTAGGGCTCCTACAACACTGCCTATAGATTAGCTTCCGGTGACAATACACAAGTGGCCGCAAGTGTTTGCCGGTATGATGAAAGCAAGTTCGATCCCGAGGCGAAGCGTTCGGAAATAGCAACTATGAAATTTGTGCGTGAATCGGGACTTTATCCTGATGTTCCCGTACCAAAGGTGCTTGCTTGTGATTTGACCTTTACAAATGCCGCTCGTGCACCATATGTTATCATGGAAGTTGTTCCAGGTGTCACGACAAAGCTAGCAAAAGGAACATCTCATGACCTGGATAATGATCTTTTGGCACAAAATTTTGTCTTGATCAAATCGCTAGCGAAATTGCAAGCATCGCTTTCCAAACCTGTTCCACTTGATCAAATAGGGAGCCTCGTAGCCGATGCGGATGGAAAATTCGTACTAGGTCCATTAATGACAATGTCACAGGAGTCCTTGGGTGGTCCCTTTAAATCCATACAAGACCTATGGAGATCTCAGCTGGAAGCAACTTGATGCAAGCACTCACAGAGTGGGGAAACCTTGAGACGGACAATTCTGCCCAAACTTGGTTCGGTGTGGTGTGCACTCCTCACATGTATGCCGAGCTTTTCCGGTTTCTTTCCGCGCTCATTCCCCACTTTGAACCACCGAAATCATGTCGTTCCTTGGTTCTTTACCATCCTGACATTGCCCTTCGCAACGTCCTCTTTGATGAATCTTCATTGTCTTCGAAGACAGTCCAAGGGTAACAGGCGTGCTTGACTGGGCCGGTGCACAAATCTTGCCAGCAATGTTCACCGCCCACTATCCATTAGACCTTATCACCGACCGTGACAGTCCTTTCACGCATCCTAACCGTCCGAGAGAAGACTGGTCGACCGTGCCTTGTGATTGGACTTCGACTGGAGATGTTTCAGATTGGCCACAAACATTTTGCGCTGTGAATATTCCCTACGACAACACGCCAGGTGCGCACAGAAATATCCGTCAGTTCTACTTGCGTACACACTTCAGTGCTTGCTACGCAGAGCAATTGTACGCCCAGCAAGGAGTTGTGGATCTGGCCTGTGCGACAATGTTCAAGGATGCACCTTATTATCTGAAATTTGACGACGTCATCGGTGGTGGGTGGCAGCACTGGGTCAAGCACAGGACTTGGATTCGGGAGATGTATTGGAGGTTAAGAATGGCTGGCCATGGGAGCAAAGGCTCGGAAGAGCTCGTTGTAGGGCCAAACGTCTATCTGGAACCCGTTGAGGCGCCGGTTTGTGACCTGGGGATATTTGCTGATCATCCAAAACCGGAAGAAATCCCGACCCGAACGGGAGAGACCCTATAGAACATCGTGTACATGTTTGATATACTGTTGACGGGTAACGTAAGTGTCAACCTGTGGCTCAATACAATCATTGTATCATTCAGTCCGTAAGAGGATTGTATGGGGTCTTGGCACAGATGGTAGCGCGCATGCTTCGCAATAAGTAACCATGTACACGATTGCATGAGGTCGTGAGTTCGACTCTCACAGGCTCCAGGGGATGTTACGGTCCAAGCTTTTTTACGTCGTCGCAAACGCACATTACGCCGACCAAAACAAACCTGACACGCCACGACCTTATTCGACCCATGTTTACGGTACACTCTTGCAAATGACAGTTACCGCATGCGTATGGTCATGTTTAGTACTACTGATGGTCATTGATTGACGACATGTTACCATAAGTATAGTGTCTGATATGTAACATTTCGTCAATTGTCAATCTAACATTCCCGTCATTTGATTTCGCACATAGTATAATGATGCCGCTCCATAAATTCCCATGTCCAAATCACCTTAAGGTTAAGCTCCTAAATCTATGAAGATGTTTCTCTGCTCCCCCTGCACCTAAAACATTTCTCGACATTTGACACGTTCAAACCTCACATAATCTGAAAACTCGAACTAGGCATCTTCACTTCCGTTGGCGGACGTATGCTTTTCGCGTCCCATAATAGAGATAACAATATATCAACGAGCTGAACCGAAACCACAGGCTTGCGGGAACTCTTGCCAGACAAGCTAACCCTCAATTAGTAGATGGTACCATTGAAGCTGACTTTTTCCTCTCAGCATGAAAGACAAGCGGGTGTAATAATTTTTTGCGACCTGAAACTGGTAATGATTGTCAGCACGTAATGAACATATATGTAGACACTGAATTTCTATGTTGTTCTGTACAGAATGAATGGACTTGATGTCACTGGGTAGAGAGCGCTGATTGACTCCTTACAGGGTGGGTGCCAAAACGAAAGAGCTAATTCAAGACGGTAGAAGTCAAACCCTATCACGTTATCGAGACAGTGCTGATAACCCTTCGGCCAACAAGCAGGCTCATTCTTCATGAAGAGTGTAACAAGGATCCGTCTGGCTGGCCACCCCCCTGGCAGCGAAAGCCTTTGGCGATCGTCGCGAAAAGGAAGATATGCTATGGCTCGAACCAATGACAGCAGTAAAGATCGTATGCGAAGCACTTGTGCGGTAAAGAAGTCCCTGTCAAGACTATCATAATAAACACGGAAATGACAGCCTATGTAGCGATAATACATAGACACAGTAGGAAAGATGTGCAATCTCACGTTCTCAGACGTAAGAAAGATGAGTACTTGAGAAATATTTGAAGAGAAACTTACCTGTCCTGGTTGAATGGAACAAAAATCATGATGTCGGGAAACGCCGAAGTTCTTCCGTTATCTTACTTCTTTCCCTCTGAATTACGCGAAGTAAGGTCCACATCACTATTCGACCCTTCTACACATACGACCCTGCTTCTACATATACGACCCTAGATATGTCACATAACTTTTCGACATACACTTAGGGCGACACTGATCGGGGCTTAGGAGTGCTCAGAATTCGAATTTGCACTACTGGCCAGGTTATGCAGGCTGTTCCACGGGTAATGTAAGCTACGACATGATACGTTACGCACCTCTTCGCCCTGACGCCCTTTGCCCCAGTCCAACGTCGACTCCGGGTTCGCCGTCGGACCACGTCTTGGTCTCTTGCAACCCCGATGGCATCAAATCCGCATGTCATTACGAATCGGTGTACTCTGCTCCGCGAGCCATTGGCGGCCCTTTCAGTTGACGCCAATCTTTTCTATCAGGCCGTCTTTATCTCCGATAGAGTGCGTAGATTTCGATTGAGCTACATATTCTTGAACTCGAAGGAAGACCGCTTGGCGTTCCAATCTTAATGCTCAGACATACTGCATATTATGCAAAGTGCACACGACAGGTCAAGTATCCAAATTGACCTCTGGAAAACGTCTTTGATTGAGTCTATTGCGTTCTTGAGATGAAAAAGATTGAGACGATGTGGCGCCATACTCAGACTTTGATCATAACAAAGATAAAACCTTGAATCAGCCTCGTGTACACTGCGTGTTGCCTTGCTCCACGAATAGCATCGTAAAGTACGCCTGGTGTCTAAAACATGTCCGCCGTCAACAGAGTCATCTGCTGTGAGCCTGACTTCGATGTCCCGACTCGCAAGTCCCAAAACCTCCAAACGGCTTCGATAAAGAAAGGGCCATGAAGCAGTTTTTCAAGGTGATAACATTTGGAAGCTTCTCAATTGATATACCCTGATCATGAGGGATCGATCCAGCTAAATATTATCCCTTGTAATGAATGTAAGTCAATTCATAGATTGGCCAGGAAGAGTTTCTGGAGCGATCTGATTAATCACGAGTTTCCGATCGATTTGTACGAATTTGAGATCCAAGAAGAAAGATCTAGACACCACCGCCTGGAAATCTGAAAAAGCCAAACTTGAAATGATTATCGATGAGGAGCATGAGAATATATGGTCGAGGCTTCGTGGAGAATAAGAACTAATCGAAGCTAGGCGTCCAGCGTAATGGTCCAGCGCATACTAAAGCGAGGAATCATGTCAACAATCTTGACCTGAAGATTGATTTTCCAATGTGATGATGAAGAATTTCACACAAATGCCGGACCTCATGGCGTGGTGCTCTTGTCAGCCCATGTCCATACACTTACCTTGTTGTTTATTTAGAGAAGACATAGCGGGATTCTACTGAGGGACTTCCACGGGCTTGGACATAACCGTTCCATGCTCTTGCTTGTGTGGTGAAATAAGCGACCATGCATTTTGGTTTCGGTAAGGTGCTGCGCCCTCTGATGTTGATGCGAAACCACATCCACAATTTCGCCGAAGTGGGCTCGTATGCCACCATTCCTATCTATCGGCGATAGATTTGACTTGCCTATACAAGCGCATCAAAAAGATGTCTGAGTTGCCGCTGGCAGAGACCTCTTTCTGGGAGGTCTCACGCGATCCGAATTCGTGTCTCCCTAAACACCCGATGAGGAGCTGGTTTCTAGGAAGCGCGCGTGGAGAATGGTATGACGGGCGTGCTGATTATGCTTCCGCCATAGAAAGGGAAAGAAGGTCCGAGATCAATCTGGAGAGGCCGAAAACTGGCAAAGGGATGCAAAAAACACGCATGCATGAATGGAGTACCGAGGTTTGTTTGTAAGCCGCTGTGCAGGTTATTGCCATATTTGGCCTTAGGTCCATTGTGCTATATATCCAAATGATCATTTCAAGCGAATTTTTTCCCCTTCGCCCTGTTTACTTTCATTTTTCTTCCTCCACCCTAGAGGTGCTTTCAACTGGCTGGTCTAATGCTAACTCTTACTTCCGGATCTGCTTGTGACGTGTGTGCCGAAGAGTACGGTCCTCAGTGCCAACCTCATTCGATTCCTTGTGGTAAGTCAAGAAATCATGCATTTACCATGTGAAAAAAAACATATTCTGCATTATTTCGTCTTTTCTGTACAGGACACGTCCTATGCGCGAGTTGCTGCAGTACCATAGTTGAAAAGACGCCCTCTCGCCTCTCGCCTGTCTGTCCTTTCTGTCGTGAAAGCTTCACCAATGACTCAATTCGTATTATACGTATGGAGTTTAATTCTTCCAGTAGGTGGAATACACTGCGGCGCGCGCCTACATATTCCGTTGAGCCCAGTCAAATGGACTTTGCCTCTCTGTGGGCACGCAGGACGGAGCGATCTTCCGGAATCCGTCCGGAAGTTCGGCTACTTGAGGAAAAAGTCGCGAGGGTCGCCGCGAAAAAATGTTCAGTAGAGGAGGTTGCTGCCCTCTACAGAGAACTCGATGAATGGCTTGAGTCTGAAGCTTATGCCCAGGTCAGTCTAAGTCCCCGTTTCATCGGTTCACGCGTTCATGTTCACCCCAGACGTCGCTTTTGCTCAGCTCCGCGCTCTTGCGGGCCATTCTAATGAATCATCAAGCACATTCCGAAGCCAGTAGGAGTATGAAAATTGTTGAGGTCAATCTAAGAGCCAAAATAGACGAACTACAATCAGGCAACGAAAAATTAGAAAAAGAGTTAAGAAGGTATGTCTATACAACATTGTATTGCACACGAAACAATTTTAACCGTCAGTCATCTTGAAATCAATCAGACAAGTTAGTTTGTTATTTAAGTTGATTGTCTTTTTACCTCATCCTTTCTTTCACAGCGTCAACAATATGTAGCAAAGGCACAGGACTATCAGAATGTTTGTGTAGAGTTAAACAAGTTGAAAGAGTCACTAGGTAGCAGTGCTATGTCCGCAGATACACGTCCTTCTGCAGCCTCACCGACGCCACCGTCAACATCTCCCACCCCATATACCTCTGCATCGTCCCAGTCGCCACTTTCACGTTTTAACTCGATGCATCAGAAATCATCTTCAATGTCTTCACGACCAACGACGCCCGCCACGCCTTCCCCTTCACGAACCTATACGCCTGCTCCCCAGAGCCTTCTGAGGACGCAAACTCCTGCGCCTCTTCACAGGACCCAAACACCGATGGTTCGACCATACACTCCTGCCCCAACCCACAGTTTGCGCTCGATGACGCAAACACCTAGCCATTTGCGGACAACAACTCCGGCGCCACCTCCTATTCCTACGAAACCGCGCAGGCTGTCTACGCCATCTACTCCTGTTCCCCCCAAAATGGTGCGTTCTCCATCAGACGAAAAAGCAGAGATCCGCCAAATTTGGATCCCACCTGGTTCTACCGATCCTCCATTACGAACGCCGTCCCGGAGTGCGACTCGGACACCATACACTACTGCTTCCTCGCGATTTTCACCTCGTTGATTGTTATGTGTAATGTATCCCTTACATGCATCGGGGACATTGCGATTTTCCGTTTTTTTTATCTTATTTTTTTTTTCGTGCCTGTATCTTATCAAAGTACGTGTCGTCTTTCTCAGTTTTCGTAGTCCTTGATCGGATACCCACTGTTTTCTCTTTCTGTTGTACATAGTTTATACCCTCCTTTCCTTGCTCGATTGTGATTTGCACCTTCCCTTCTACCAACACTCTTTTTATGTTAATATCTTATGGGGAATTTACCCACCCCTCGTCGCGTTTTTATTGCTATCTTCTATTTATCTCATAGAAGCTGAACAATACTTGCCTCAGCACCCGTTGTAGCATTTTTAGCAT